CCCCAAAACCCCAAAACCCCGAATGTTTGAATTTCAAATATGAATCAAATTATATAAATAAAATTGAGATACAATTGAAAATATAATAATATATTAAAAAAAGAATGGCTTAATTTAAGCATAATGATCAAGACTAAAAAATATTAGAGGCGATTCAAAACAACAAAGATAAAATAATCATAAAACCTAAATCAAAATTGGAAAAAACCTCACATATGAACAAATTTCTAATCGATAATATTTTACAAAATAAGTATTCAAGATAAGAAAAGGGACATGTTGGTGAAATATTTGATTCGGTACTTAAATATGCTCAGATATATAGATCAAATTCTTATACTGCTACTTATAAAGTTAAATAATTGGAAATACTTTAAGAATATATCGATTCTATCAAAAATTTCGTCCAGATCAAATTAAAAAATGAAATTAAAAATATGATTGAAATCAATGATATTTTATTGTCAGTATAATCAAGTTTCAAGCATGTACTTTCAGAAATTCACAGAATTGTAAAACTTTTTACAGGGGATGTTATATAAAATTACTGGAAAGAATTCAAAATAGGTGTAAAATTATTTCAATGTGAGTGTAATGAATAAAAAATTTCAGAATTTTTGAAATTAAAAGAAGACTAAGAATATAAAGCTTGCATACTGAATAATTTAGAGTAAAATGATGAATTTATGGTGGTTACTCTAGCAATTATTGATCTAAGTCAGAAAGTAGAAATCGATTGCGATCCTTTTTTATATAAAATTTAGAAAGCAAAATACATGATTATGAAACTTGAAAACTTTGAATAATTTTCAACCATAATAGAACTTCAATAAATCCCCAATAAAAATGATATAGCTGCAAATGAAGCAGAAGAAGATGATTATGATGAATCATCCTAAGAAAGAGAATGAAGCTTATGATTTATAATTAAAATAATCGAAATTAAATTCAGTTTTAATATTTTGAATTAGTTTTATAATCTAAAATATTACTTATTAACTACAATTGATTTGCCCATAATCATTACCTTTTAACTAATGGGGTTTTGGGGTTTTGGGGTTTTGGGGTTTTGGGGACATGAATGGTCT